GACCGTTTGCAGCAGGGAGTCCCATGGAGGAAGCTCCACCCTGCCTGAAACGTGCGCCAGAAACACCCAAGATCTGCTCCACCGGGGCGGGAGGGGGGGGGTGCGAGGTCCCGCGCCGATCGGCAAAACAAGGAACAAGAGATCGATTGCCTTGCCATCGCTCGGACGTCCATTTCCTGTGCATGTTTCGGAATCGTGCGTTGTTGTTGTGAAACAAATGCACGCGTTCGAATGATGCCGGGCCCCCCGGCGTCGAAAACGCCGACTGAACCTCGGCCCCGCACCTTCGACGTCGTGACTTTTTTTCGCGACGTCGACCCCCAGAGGTCTGGACCCCTTGCCTGGGACTAGCTTCTCACCCTGGGCACCGTCGGGCGACAATATGGCTAGGTCGGCATATCCCCTACAGGCGGATTTTGGACGACAAAGAAAAAAGACGCGCAACATATTCAAAAATAGTGGAAAAGTTGTAAGAACCTCGTTCCCATATGAGTTTGTTTGACTGTTTTAAAATATTCCTCCTGTAGAGGGACACGTCCGACTTACCCCTGGGCACAGTCGGGCGACAGTATGTCCCAGGCAAACGAAAAATGTTCGGCCGACTTCGGCCTCTGGGGGGGGGTGGCCCTCACTGGGCCCCCGGGGGCCGTCAGGCCTCGGCTCGGGAGGAAGGGCCGACAAGACCAAAACCCGGGGAAGGGGTGCAGACCTCGCGGGGAAGCGGCCTCCTTCCGAGAAGCTCTTCCCCCCCCCCCCTGCCCTCCCCTGCGCGTGGCCGAGCAGAGAGCCTCGTCGAGAGCGTTGGGAGTCGGCTGCGCGCAAGAGGAGCGACCCCGGGCAGGAGCGACCTGTGGTGCGCGGCCCTCGGGGGGGCCGCGGGAGGGACAGCCAAAAAGCGCGCGGGACCGCTACCATCGCATGCGTTCGGCGATCGGGGGCCCCGGTGGGCCCGCACCAGGGGTCACTCCAGCGAGGGGCCACTCTTGCGTGCAGCGTCAGAGGGTCTTCAACCCTCCCCCCCTCCAAAGCTGCTGGCTGGCTGCACTCGTCCTCCCCCTCCTCGTCCCTCCCCTCCTGGCCTTCTCCTCGCTCTCCCTCCTCGCCCTCCTACTCGTGCCCCCCTCCTCGCCCTTTCCCTCGCCCTCCCTCTCCTCGCCCTCCTCCTCGTGCTCCCCTCCTCGCCCTCCCCCTCGCCCTCCCTCTCCTCGTCCTGCCTCTCCTCGCCCCCCTCCTCGATCCCCAGACATGCAACGTCCTGATGTTTTCCATGCGCGGCCCCCAAAGGCCCCAACACGTACGCCCTGGGACCGGCTCTTCCTCCCGAGTTGTTTTTTGGACGGCCTTTCGGGGCCCTTCGAGGGCCCGCAGAGGCCGACAAAGATGAGAAACCGCCCGTCCTGACTTGTTTACGACGCGAGCACGCCTGGGTCCCCAGCCATTTGCGGATGTGTTTTTTTCAATCCGCGGCCCCAGAGGTCCCGACCCCTTCCCCAGGCGTGGTTGTTCACCTCGGATCCATTTTTGATGGCGTTCCTTTTCCCGAGAACGGGCCCGGAGGCCGAAATCCAGGAAAAAAACGCCGAATCCCCTACAGACGGATTTTGGATAACAAATTCAAAATGCTTGAGAAATAATCGGAAAGAGTCAGGAAATCGTCCCAGGACTATTTGTTGACAGTTTTTGGGTTTTCTTGCTGTGCAGAGGGACACGCCCGACTCTGGGCCCCTCCTCCCCGTTCGTCGATGGCGGCGCCCGTCCTCAGTATGTCGAAGCGCGCCCCAGGCGGCGGCACCAGCCGGCCCGGCGGCCCGCCGGCCCCGCCCGCGCCCGCCAGGGCGGGGGCTGCCGCGCGGCAGCGGCGGCCCGCCGAGCGGGCGAGGGACATGGCGCGGGGGCCTTCGGAGGGGCCGGGCCGCGGGCCGCCAGCCCCGGGTTCCTGGAGGAGCGGCGTCGGCGACGACAACGACGACGATCACCTCCTCCTCCTCCTCCTCCTCCTCCTCCTCCTCCTCCTCCTCCTCCTCCTCCTCCTCCCCCACTCCTCCTCCTCCTCCTCCTCCTCCTCCTCCTCCACCTCCTCCTCCTCCTCCTCCTCCTCCTCCTCTCCTCCTCCTCCCCTCCTTCCCCACTTCCCTCCTCCTCCTCCTCCTCCTCCTCCTCCTCCTCCTCCTCCTCCTCCTCCTCCTCCTCCCCCTCCTCCTCCTCCTCCTCCTCCTCCCTCCTCCTCCTCCTCCTCCTCCTCTCCTCCTCCTCCTCCCTCCTCCTCCTCCCTCCTCCTCCTCTCCTCCTCCTCCTCCTCCCCCTCCTCCTTCCCCACTTCTCCTCCTCCTCCTCTCCTCCTCCTGCTCCTCCTGCTCTCCTCCCTCCTCCTCCTCCTCCTCCTCTCCTCCTCCTCCTCCTCCTCCTCCTCCTCCTCCTCCCCTCCTCCTCCTCCCCCTCCTCCCCCTCCCTCCCTCCTCCTCCTCCTCCTCCTCCTCCTCCTCCTCCTCCTCCTCCTCCTCCTCCTCCCCACTCTCCTCCTCCTCCTCCTCCTCCTCCTCCTCCTCCTCCCTCCTCCTCCTCCTCCCTCCTCCTCCTCCTTCCTCCTCACTCCTCCCCCTCCCCCCTCCCCCCTCCCCCTCCCCCCCCTCCCTCCTCTCCTCCTCCTCCTCCTCCTCCTCCTCCTCTCCTCCTCCTCCTCCTCCTCCTCCTCCTCCTCCTCCTCCTCCTCCTCTCCTCCTCTCCTCCTCCTCCTCCTCCCTCCTCCTCCTCCTCCTCCTCCTCCTCCCCCACTTCTCCTCCTCCCCCTCCTCCTCCCCCTCCTCCCGATTGCGCCGACGCCGACGGCAACGACGCGACGACGACCGACGGGCAGGTCAGCGGCGCCAGGCCGCCGCGCTCCTGAGAGCGGGCCCTGGCGCGGGCGGCCGCACGCGGCCCCCCCGCCCCTCGGCGCGCCGAGCCCGGCCTCTGGAGGCCCCGTGGGCCACCAGCCCAGACCCCCTCGGGCAAGGAAGAGGACACGACGGGGGGTCTTTCCCAAGCATCCTGTGGTGTTGGGTCCTCGCTTTGAAGAGACAGCGCCCCGCGTTCCTTCCTCCTCCTCCTCCTCCTCCTCCTCCTCCTCCTCCTCCTCCTCCTCCTCCTCCTCCTCCTCCTCCTCCTCCTCCTCCTCCTCCCTCCTCCTCCTCCTCCTCCCCCCCCTCCTCCTCTCCTCCTCCTCCTCCTCCTCCCCCTCCTCCCTTCTCCCATTCCTGCCTCTACCCTCCGCGTGTCGCCCATCCTCGGCCCCCCCTTCACGCGCTTCGGGGTCCCACCGGGAGCTCCGCCGACGGACCCATGGCCCCCTCGGGCGCCGCGGCGCCGCGGTCGGCGGGGGCCGCGCTGGGCGCGGTGGCGCGGCGGCTGCCGCGAGGGGCGCCCGGCCCAGCGGCCCTCGGGAGCGTCCGCAGAACGACTCGGGAGGAAAAGCCGGCCCAGGGGATTTGGACGCCCGCAATGGGCACGGAAAGAACGGGCACAATGGCCAACAGCAAAAGTTGTCCCAAACCAACAGCGGCCGCTGTTGGGCAGGCGGCCTTCTGTCTCAAACGAGCACAGGCACAGGCCGCGGCGGCGCGGACAGCGAGTCCGGTTCAAAATGAACAGGAACTGCTGTCGGTCTTTGTGCCCATTCTTTGCGTACCCATGTCGGGCGTCCCGAGGGGAAGGGGGTCGAGACCTCTGAGGGCCGACGCTGTGGCAAAGATCACGGCGTCGGGGGTCTGGCTTCGGAGGAGGTGCCCGCCTGCGGGCCACCAGGCGAGGAGGGGCCGGCCCGCGGGCCAACCAGCGAGGAAGCCCTCCCCCCACCCGCGGGCCCTGAAACTCGTCGTGGCCCCTCCCTTCTCTTCCCCCCTTCTCCCTTCTCCCTCCTCCTGCGTCCTCCTCCCGCGTCCTCCTCCCGCGTCCTCCTCCTCCCTCTGCCGCCCTCCTTCCGCTGTCCTGGCGGCCGTGCTTCTCCCCACATCCACGTGGCCATGGGGTTCTGAACGGCCGAGGAGTCGGAGGTGCAAAACCGAGCGCCTCGCCCGATACTTCCCCGCGATCTGGCCGCTTGGGGAGCTGAAACTAGCGCCTCGCTCGAGACATCCTCACACCATGTTCTGAAAGCACCCTTCGCCGAAGACACCAAACAGGCAAACTGCCCGAGACAAAATTCCCACTATCTGGGCGCGAACGGGCATACCCCCTGGCGGCTCCCCTCTTCGGGTGCTGAAACTTGCGCCTCGCTCGAGACATCCTCACAGTCTGCTTTGAAAGCACCGAAGTCGAAGCCACCAACGTAGCAAACCGCTTGAGACATCCCCGCAATCTGGGCGCGAACGGGCCCATGAAACACGCCCTGGCGGCCCCCCCCTCCCCCTGGGGTGCTGAAACCACCGCCTCGCAATGATATCCTTACGCTATGCTCTGACAACACGGAAGTCCTAGCCACCAAACAAGCAAACCGCTCGAGACACCCCTACACTTTGGGCGCGAACGGGCCCGGGAAATACCACCTGGGGGATCCCCCTTGGGGTGCTGAAGCCATTGCTTCTCTCTCTCTCTCGATATGATCACAAATTGAATGTGAGGCGAGCCCAAGTGTAGGTGGTCTGTGTGGGTGCGTTTGAGTGTGAATGACTCTGAGTGTGTATGAGTCGGAAAAGTAAGTCTGAGTGCGAGTGTATCTGAGTATGATTGTACCTGAGTAAGGGCGTAATTGAATAGGAATGGGCCTGACTGTTGTGTCTGAGTGTGAGTGGGTCTGAGTGCGAGTGTGAGAGTGAGTGAGTCTGAGTGTGAGCGAGTCTGAGTGTGAGTGAGAAGTCTGAGGAGAGCGAGGAGGACGGGGAGACGCCACACTGATAGCAAGAACCCCATACTCAGGGTACGGGGAACACAATGACCCCTTGGGAAGGGGCAGGGTGACGAAGGTGTGGGGCCTTCGTCCTCCTCCTCCTCAGCCTCCGCTCCCCCCCGCCCCAGAGGGGCACGCATGCGCGGCAGCGCGGGTGGACAATGTTTGGCTTGTCTGCTTGTGCGGCGGGCCTGCACCCCGCCACTCTGGGCGGAACGTTAGAAAATTGTGGCACCAAGCAGGAGGCCAAAAATCCGGCGCGACGTCCCACGAGGTGGTCGCGCTTTCAGCGGTGCCTACACGGCCGAGGGCCACAGACGCATGGTCGGACAGACAGCAAGCTATTCAAACGCTGGCGATGGTACATTCGAGCGGTCTGGCCGAAGCCCAATAGCAAGCTCGTTGAGCTGGCGCCGCGCTGAGGCAGGACAGGATCAACCTCCAGCAGTGCCAGCGAGGAGGGAGGGAAGCAGAAGGCCATCTTCGTCCTCTTCCCTCGGAGGTGCCTGGAAACCAGTGCGATTTCCACGCCCCTCGAGAGCTCTCCGCGGGAGCACGGAGAGGAGGGGAAGGAGGAGGACGAGGAGAATAAGACGAAGGCAAGATGATGACAACATCGCATGATGATCAATCTCCGAATCGGCGGGTCTGGAGAATATCTCGTGCGCCGCGGCCTTCCCAACGCTCTGGAACGCTCTGAGGGCATTCCGGATCACTCTGAAGCGACTTATTATCAGCTTAGGCATACCTGACAAAAGCAGACGAAGGAGAAGGAGTAGAAGGAGACACAACAACTCTTTAGAACTCCTTGTCAGATCAGACAGGGCAGTAGAGAAGACGCCAGGACAGATGAGGAGGAGGAGGATGAGGAGCAGGATGAGGAGGACCAGTGCGAACCCAAGGCTCATCAACGATAGTGTAAACACCCTCCCTCCAAGTTCCCTCTTCGTAGGCCCATACAAATATTCATTTTCACGGAGGGAAGTGGTCCGCTGGAAAACAACAGTTTGAAAATCCGAGACAGCGCCAAAACATCATTCCTGGGACTTCAACGCCGCGAATCAACATACCGTTGCACCGTGACGGTCCTGAGTCGCGCCCAAACACCATTCCTCGGACTTCAGCGACGCGGGTCAGTTCGACTGTGGCACCCTGGCAACCCTGCATCGCACAACAGCACCATTTCTTGGACGTCAAGCATGAGAATGAAGCTGCTGCACAATCTTCACGCGAGTGTGCGCGGCGCGAAGGCGATAATCACATTTCGACAAGGACCCGCCTTTCATCCGTGAAGGTGCTGTAAACTTTTAAGACGAAAGTGCGCGGCGTTGAGGCGAAAACCACATTTTGAAAACGCCCCGCCCTCCATCCGTGAAACTGCGGCAAACGTTTAAGACGAGTGTGCGCGGCGCTGAAGCGAGACTCACATTTGGAAAAGGACCCGCCCTCCATCCGTGAAGCCCTTGCAAACTTCTAGGACGAATGTGCATGGCGCGACGGCGGTAACCACATTTTGAAAAAGGATCCGCCCTCCATCCGTGAAGCGCTGGCGAAATTATATGACGAATGTGCGCGGCGTTTAAGTGAGAACACCATGTAAAAAATGGACCCGCCCTCCAGCCGTGAAGCTGTTGCACATCTTGAGCTTCAAGATCACCGATGGCAAGGGGATGTCAGGCGAAACTACCGACCAGCCCTGCCAACACGTCTTGGGGTGCGGCAGGGAAGACTTGTTTAGAAGGAGGAGGAGGGGGAGGAGGAGGAGGCGGAGGAGAAGGAGGAGCAGGGGGAGGAGGAGGATCATGATGAGGAGAAGGGGCATGAGGAGAAGGCTTAGGAGGAGGAGGAGGGGGAGGAGGAGGACGAGGAGGAGAGCAGAAGGAAAAGGCTGAGAGGAGAGGAGAGGAGGAGGAGGAGAAGGGGAGGAGGAGGAGGAGGAGGAGGGGAGGAGAGGAGGAGAGGAGGGGAAAGGAGGAGGAGGAGGGGGAGGAGAAAACGACACTGCGACAGACAGCAGCGGACAAGGCCGGACAGGCACGGGCAAGCGCGGAGCGGCGAGCGGCGGACGACAGGCCTCGGCGGCGCGCCGAGGGGCGCGGGGGGAGCGGGGCGGCCTTCGGCAGGGCGAGGGGGGGAGGGCTGACTGGAAGGGCTCCTCCTCGTTTCCCTCCTTCTCCTCCTCTTCCTCCCTCCCCTCCTCCTCCCTCCTCCTCCTCGTCCTCCTCCTCGTCCCCCCTCCTCCTCCTCCTCCTCCTCCTCCTTAGCCTTGTCCTCCTCCTCCTCCTCCTCCTCCTCCTCCTCCTCCTCCGCAGCCTCCTCCTCCTCTTCTCGGCGGCGCGCCGGCCTTCTCAGGAGGCTCGGAGGTCTCTGGGCCCTTTTGGGACATTTTCTAAGCCTTCCCCAGAGACACAGGAGGCTTCTCAGAAGGCCTGACAGCTCTTGAGAAGCCCCGCCGCCTTCTGAGAAGGCCTCTTTCTCAGTTCCCCCCTCGCTCGCCGCCGATGTTCCTCCTCCCCCTCCTCCCCTCCTCCCCCTCCTCCTCCTCCTCCTCCTCCTCCTGCTCTGCTCTGCTCCTCCTCCTCCTCCTCCTCCTCCTCCTCCTCCTCCTCCTCCTCCTCCTCCTCTCCTCCTCCCTTGCTCCTCCTGAGTGAGTGAGGGCATTTGCTGACCTGCACGATGTTATTACACTTTTTGGTCGGCGGGTCGGGAGCGGGCCCCTTCTTGTCAAGAGCTAGGCGGGGCGCGCGAAGCCCTAATTGGGGAGACAGGGCGCGGGCGGGCGGGGCCTCAGGCGGCCGGAGGGTGCAGAGTACAGGCGGTGCCGAAGATCTTGCACAGGACAAGGTGCGCCATGGACAGGAGCAGGGGGCGAAGTCCCAGAGGGAGAGTGGATTGGTGTTGCCGTCATCGGCGCGCCAAGAAGACCATCCTCTCGATGTTATTACACATGAGTTGCGCTGCTCGGCCGCCGCCATTATGTCGGTGACTATCGTCTTGGATCCACTGACCGGGGTCCATCCAGACTCGGGTGAGTAGTTCAAAGACGATAGTCACCGACTCAACTTTCCGGCGCGCACAAGGGGGTAGGCGGAGGGGGAACGCTTCTTAGAAGGAGGTTGCCTCTTAGGAGGCGCGGGCTTTACATTTACAGACAAGGCCTGCGCCTTCTAAGAAGCATGGGTGCTTCTGAGAAGCCTTCCCTCTCCCCCTGCCCCCCTCTGCGCATGGCCGACCCCTTCCTGGATCTACGGACCCGGGTCAATCCAGACCCGGGTCAGTCAGGCTTTGCAAGATCCTGCAAGATCCTGCAGGATCCTGTGCCCAAGCCTGGGTCAGTGCCACCCTGGCTCTGCAAGATCCTGCGAGATCCGGCGCTCTGACCGACCCCCGTTTATGTTGACCCCGTCTCTCGAGCCCGGACATCGCAAACCATCCGCAACTCCGGGATACCTTGGCCACGACGTTAGGCTGCCACGCGGGCGCACGAGGGCTCTCAGGGAGGAATCTTGGCATTGACTCTGCGGTGGACAACCTGCAAACATATGAGTCGAGTAGGCCTGTCCTGAAAAACCGAATCGGGAAACTGAAGGGTCGCCGCCACCGCGTATGTGCCACGCGCAGCGCAAGGAGATATCTGCGACAGATTTACAAGACAGGCCTGGAACAATTCGGCATGTACGGGTTAGCCATGACAGAAATTGACTCAGTTGAGCTCTCGGCTGTTCAGTTCTTCTTTCTCAAGTTGGTAGGTGCCCGAGGAGACTCCTGATCGCGATCGGTCTCCCTCGTTGGTCACGCCGATCTCACTTCGCGCCAGGGACTGCCGCCCTCTCTCTTGTGGCCCCAAAACTATGTTTGGAAGGTGAGTGCGGACCATTCTCGAGACAACGCTTGCCCCCTACATCGTCTCCTCCAACTTGCCCAGCCCATTCTGTCCAGACCGCCAGCGACCTGGTCGCAGGTAAGAGGGCCTTTTGGGGTGGCAATTCTTTCCTCAGACCGCATAGTGGATATTTCGTACCCCGTTCGTCATCCAAGACCCGAAAGGCCGGCGCTTGGTCTCTCACGACTTCCTCCTCCAAGTTCGTGGAGCTGAGGGAAACTCCAAGAGCAGTGGGCGCAAGGGAATGCATCGATCATCGCCCAAAAGATCGGCCTCCCGTCTGACACACGATTCGACTTTGATCATCGCGCGGCGCCTCATTGCAGAGGGCAGTGTGTCACGGCACGAGTGTGGCACGTTGGAGTCCATTGTGATGCCATTCCCTGTGGACGGCGCACCACTTGAGACGAGCGGGCTACGCCTTGGGCCCGAGGTGCATACGCGCAGGGCCTGCCGATCCTGTTTTGCACAGGCTGCGCCGCTGCCCATGCAGCCGCTAGTTCCGAGACGAGATCCTCAGTGAAGCGGGCAAGGTCTTCATCTCCGAAGCTGCCTGAGTGCAGATCCATGCTGGAGCCGCACTGCCCGGGCCACGGCGCCCAGGCTCTCCAGCTTCGTTGGCCGAGCCCGTGCAGCCTGGACCCTGATGGCCCCAGGCTGTCTGCTACATCGGACCACCGTGGCTCACAAGGTGGTGACTCCAGGAGTCTGGGCCCACTGACGGGGTTCAAGCGCCCCAGAGCCAGATTACCTCAAGTCCTCCTCCTTCTCCTGCGCCTCCTCCTCCACGTCCTACCCCTCTACCCCGTCCTCCTCCTCTTTCGCCTCCTCCTGGCCCTCCTCTTTCTCCTCTTTCTCCTCCTCCTCCTCCTTCTTCTTCTTCTTCTCCTCCTCCTCCTACCCTTTCTTCTCCTTCTCCTCCTCTTCCTCCTCCTCCCCTTATTTCTCCTCCTGCTCCTTGCGTTCCCACTTGAAGAGCCCTCTGCCCAAGCGCGGGGAGTGGGGGCTTCCGAGAAGCCCTCCCCTCGGAAGGCCGCCCCCCCCTCGCGCGCCCCCCCCCCCCTCCCCTCCAGCGCGCCGCCTCCGGCCGCAGCAGGCCGGGGCAGCAGCGGGCCATGCCACGACGGCTCAGACCTTGACCTGTTGGCGGCGCGCACAGGGGGGTACCGTCGGGCCTGGGACAGAAGAACACTCTCCAAGGGCACGAGGCCCTCCGCCGGCCAAAACACACACACACCATCCAAGTGTACCCTCGCCGGGAGGCACAAGAACGTCCCACAAGCACGAATAACACCAGGGCGCCCTGCCTGGACCGACCTCGATCTTTTACCTCGATCCGACTGTAGGGTAGGGGGGGAGGCTTTCTAGAGGGAGGCTACTTCTTAGACGGCGCCGGCCTTGCATCTGCAGACGAGGCCCGAGCCTTCTAAGAAGCAGGGGTGCTTCTGAGAAGCCTTCCCCCTTCACCTTATAACCCCCTCTGCGCGTGGCCGAACCTTCTCCGCGCCCTTCTTTTCCGCGCTTGACACGCCGGCGGCGCCGCTCGAGAACAGCCCCTGCATGTACTCCACGACCTCCCTCTGCTCCGGGGGCATGGCCTCCGAGGACTCGCTCATCGCGGCCATCATCTCGTCGATGTCCACGCCCGCCGCGGCGTACGTCTCGCGCAGGCGCTGGATGTTCTCCGCGGTCCAGCCCTGCTCTCCGGCGGCCTCCTTTGGGGAGACCACGAGGTACCGATACCGCGACTCGCCAGACCTCTCCCGGGGTGCGTTCTGACCAGAATTCCGAGGCGAGTCCAGTGGTGGCGGCGATGGCCTGCCGCTCAGGAGGCCCCCCTAAAAGGAGAACACGGGTGGAGGGTAGCGGCATGGGCACCTTTTTTTCCTCCTCGGATCCTTCATCTGGGCCAGGAAGGCGCTGGGGGAGGTGGCGAACTGCCCGACGGTGCGCAGGAACTCGGGGTCCTCCAGCGTCGCGCCGAAGTTCTGCCTGGCCTCCAGCCGCTCCTCGGGGCTCAGGGGCGAGTCCGGTGCGACCTCGGCGCCCTTCCGGATGCCGAGGTAGACCTCGCCTACCATCTCGTCCTCGGACAAAGGAGCGAATCGGGGATCCACCACAGCATTGCTCTGCTCCAGAACCGAGTTACCGCCGAATGTGCAAGAAGCGCGTGGCATGCTCGCGCGGATCCACGGAAGATGCGTGCTTTCTCCGAGCTCTGGCGGGGAACTCGGTTCGGGGGTTTGAGCAGGGACCGACCGTCCGGCATTCCTATAGTCCCACCACGAAATGTTCTCAGAACCCCAAACTGTTCTTAGATCAAAAACAATGTTCTTAGAACATAAGCCCGATTAGTTAAAACAAGACAGACCCCACCAGAAATGTTCTAAGAACATCTCGTGCAGACCACAAAAGGTTCTTAGAACATTGTTTGGTGGGGCTATAGGCGAACCCAGACGCTTCGCCACTGCTTGAACTTTGTGGCTGCTCCCTGCTCGAGAGACGCGACCTCGCACGCATCTCGGGAGCGGCAGAGAGGGGGGCGTCCAAGAGGGGGGGTGCAAATCATGGCCGGCGGCATGCGCGCGGCCCAGCGGGGGGGCCAGGGACGTACAAAAAAAAAAGAAGGGGCGCCACGAAATCTGGGGAAATATCATGGCCCCCGCCATGATATCCCCCCCCCCCCCAAGTCATCCCCCCCCCCCTCTTTGCCGCCCCCGATCCTCGACTGCCGGAGCTCCGCGCGGACCTCCCGGGATCGGCGCTCGGCCCCCCCCCCCCCTGGACGCGCGCAGCGCCGCCAGGGGGCTCGGCGCCGGCCCCAAAGAGAAATCCGAGCGGAGCCCGACGACGACAAAACGACGACAACAACGACAGAACGGCGACAAAACGACGACGGCGACGACGCACGACGACGACGACGACGCACGACGACGCCAACAACGACAAACCGACGACGACGACGACGACGGCGACGGCGACGACGACCTCGAGTCCTCGAACATCTCGAACTCGTTGCAGGCGCTGGCCCATCGGATCTGGTCCCCCACCGTGATCAGGCCCGCGCGCTGCATGCCCTCCCGCAGCTCGCTGAAGCTCGCCATGGCCAGCTCCCCCAGGCTCTGCCGCGCGTCCAGCAGCTGCCGCACGTTGAGCGCCAGCCTCGCGAGGTTGATGGTGCGCGCCGTCGCGTTCTGCTCGGTGCCTCGGCCGGCCGACCAGAATCGGAGGGTTAGGCCTGGGTCGGGCATGCCCTCCTAGAGGGGCATTTTGGTCGGCAAATAAAGCACAGCCAGCACACATATTCATAAGTAGGCAGGAAAAACACACATCGTCTCCTGACTATATTATGACTATTTTGAAGATTCCTCCTGCAGAGGGACAGGTCCGACTAAAGGTTAGGTCGGGCATGTCCTCCATAGATGGGTTTTGGAAGAAGGATGAAAACGGTCAGCAAAGAACTGGTCAAAGAGAGTCAAGCATGGTCGAAACGCCGTCCCCAGACTGCCTCTTGGGGCGAATCGTTGAGCTTTCCTCCTGTCGAAGGACGTGCCCGACTTCATCTCAGGGCACTCCCGGCAGCGACCCTGAGCAACCAGGACTTGGGCGCGCCCGGGCCACCACTGCAGCCGTGGGGCGAAGCGTCCTCCACCCTTCCCCCTGTCGATGATCCTCAAGACTTGTGTCAGCCCCAACGTGTGTTTGTCTATCGAGGCCCTTCGATACGACGCAGGCGGTGTCATGAGCTAGTGGTCGGGCTGAAGAGGGGTAAACACACTCGTTGGGCTGGCACGCCTCCTGAGGATCATCGACCCTGTCCCAGGTGCAGTGCCCAGAGTCCTGGCTCGCAGTGTCCAGCTGCAGACTCGGGGGCGCGCAAGCATGGATTAGTGATCCGTGGATGTGGCGCGCGGTCGCCAGATCCATGGATCAGCGGAGGCGCCCTCCTGACAAATGCGGCCCGTGCCGCCTCGCTCGGCGGCGGAAACCTGCGATGGCCCATGGAACCGGGACCCGTCGCTCATCCACGCCCCCCAGCTCCACGGTTGCAGTCGCCTGACAGACGGGCTTCGACAAGCCACTCAGGGAAGGCGGCCCCTGGACCTCCCCCCCAAAAAGGGTCCACACGCGCCGCGCCCATGCTGCGAGCCGCGCCCAGCCGCGGGGAGGAGAGGCGGGCCCCCAGCCTGGAGAAGGCCAGAACGCCTCGAGCCTCCAGGCTCGACCAGGAGGAGGAGGAGGAGGAGGAGGAGGAGGAGGAGGAGGAGGAGGAGGAGGAGGAGGAGGAGGAGGAGGAGGAGAAGGAAGACCCCCCGCGGAGGTACCGAGCCCGGCGAGCTCCTTGATCTTCTCGCCCTGGGGTCCCGACAACATCTCCGACAGCTGCCTCCGGCGCGCTTCCCGGTTCGGGATGAGGCTGGAGACGCGCTCCTTGGACATTTTAGTGAGCTTGCGCGGGGTGAACAGCCCCACGTTGTACACGGAGTTGCGCCGGATCCTGGACATCATCTTCAAGAATATCTGGTATCCCTCAAGCTTGTACTCCGTCAGGGGGTTCTTCTGGCCATAGGCCCGCAGCGTCACGCTGTTTTTGAGGAAGTCCATGTTCTTCAGGTGCTGCTGCCAGAAGTTGTCGAGCTGCATTAGCAAGATGTTGCGCGTCACCATGCCCGTCAGCCCCTGACCGCTCTCCTCGATGGTCGCGCACTTCTGCGCGAAGGCGTCCCTGGCCTTCTCTTGCAGGAGCGCCAGCACCGCCTTCATGCCCTCGTCGCCGCCTGGAGCCGCGGCGCTCTTCAGACTTTCGAGCGTCACCACCTCTTTCAGGTCCGTCCAATAGATTCCCACGTTCTCCGCCAGCTTTTCCAACTTCCAGTCTTTCACAGGCTTCTTGACATTAATGTGACCATCAACGAAATCTTCCATATTCTTGTCGGAGAACTCCTCCAAAGTCGACCGGATGCTTGCGTCGTCCTCAAGCAGCGTGCGCCGGCGTAGGCTGTACACGATCTGCCTCTGCGTGTCCATGACGTCGTCGTAATCGAAGACGCCTTTGCGAACGCTGTAGAAGTAGTTCTCCACCTTCTTCTGTGCCTCCTCCAGAGAGCTGGACAGCAGCCCAGACTCCAGCGGCGTGTCGTCTGAACCAGAGAAGCTCATCGCCCTGACCATCTTCTTGATATTGTCTCCTCCGAATATTCGGAAGATCTGGTCGTTGAGGCTGAGGAAGAAGCGAGTTGCACCAGGGTCCCCCTGCCGAGAGCAGCGGCCCCTCAGCTGGTTGTCGATGCGGCGCGACTCGTGGCGTTCGGTCCCGAGGACGTAGAGGCCGTCCAATGCGATCACCTCACGCTTCTCGAGATCCGTCACCTCCTTATACTCCGCGGCCATCAGGTTGTAGGCTTCGCGGAGGCGCAGGATGGCCTCGTCATCAGTCGGGGCTTTCTCGCACGCGAGCGAGAGGCGCTCGTCCGCCTCGAGCTCGGTCAGATCGCTCTTCAGGATCTTGGCCGCAGCGTCCGTGGACGTGGGCGCCAACTTCTCCGCGGAGTCCGGCACCCACTCAGACACGGCGAACCGCACGGCATCCATGACCTTGTCAGAGACGGACTTGGTCAGGTCCACGGGGTAGAAATCGTCCGGCATGACCCAGGCCCGCTTCTTCACCTTGAACAGTCTCGGGAACAGCTCTTCGCGTATCTTCAGACGCGCCATCATGGAGCTGTTGCCGCCGAGCAAGATGTCGGTGCCGCGACCTGCCATATTCGTGGATATCGTGACCGCGTATTTGCGCCCGCTGCCCGCGATGATCTCGGTCTCGCGAGCGACGTTCTCGGGCTTGGCGTTTAATAGCCTGTAGGGCACCTCCAAGGCGTCCAGCAGCTCAGCGAGGATCTCGGAGTTTTCCACGTTAGTCGTGCCGATGAGCACTGGGCGGCCGATGCGGTGGGCGTTTTCCACTTCCCTTGCCACTGCCTTCCACTTGCCGATGTCGTCGACGAACACCTGGTCGTCCTTGTCATCCCTCTTGCGCTCTCTGTTCGAGGGGATTACCACGGTCTCGATCTTATATATTCGCCTACCCCTTAGGTCTCGGCGTGGACGAGATGTCTGCCCCTACCCGATCCCTCCTCATGGTTACGTGAATGTGATGTATGTATGCATGCATGTACGCATGCACGTATGCATGCATGCATGTATGTTGTGTAGGTATACGTTCGTGTATGTATGCATGCATGTATGTATGCACATGTGCATGCTTGTATGCTTGTATATCAGTATGCATGTATATAGACATGTATTGTATGCACGTGCGAATGCGTGCATGCATGCATGTATGTACGCACGCACGTATGTATGCATGCATGTATGCATGCATGTATGTATATGAATGCATGTATGGATGTATGTATATATGTATGCATGTCTGCATGTATGTAGGCATCGACCGATATGTACTATATATACCTGCATTCATACATGTATACATACACATGTATAGGTATCCACATGTATAGTCACACATGTATGTTTGTATATCTGTGTATGCATGCATGTTTGTAGTCACATGTGCATAAATATACATACATACATACATACATACATACATACATACATACATACATACATACATACATACATACATAGATGTATAGACATATCTGTCCGTTGGTTGGGGGAGGGCGAGGAGGGATCGGGAGCGCGGACGGTCTGGCCGCACAGAAGCGCCAATCCAGACCAAGGGAAGCACGCGTCGCAGGGCTCCGACTCGCTTCTGCTCCCCGGGCAGCCCAAGAGGGCACACGGGAGAGCCCCCAGACGGTCAATGGGTCCACGGTGGGGCCAACGATGGCCCGCAAAATCAGCCTCAGGCGGCCCCAAGAGGCCCCCCCAACGCACCCAGGTAGTCCCCGGACGGCCCACTCAGGCCCTAACAAAGCCCTAAAGAGTCATTGCACGGCCTCCCCCTGCCTCTCCCCGCCCCCTTTTCTCTCTCGCTCTCGCTCTCGCTCTCGCTCTCTCTCTCTCTCTCTCTCCCTCTCTCTCTCTCCGTCTCTCTCTCTCTCTCTCTCTCTCTTTTTGTTGTTTTTTTCTCTCTCTCTCTCTCTCTCTTTTTTCCCGGCTCTGTCTCCTCCTCCTCCTCCTTTCCTGTTGCTCTGCTACCTTCTACTTTCCTCCATCAGCGCCTGCAGGGCGAACTACATTTTCAAGCAACTTGAGGGGTCGGCGGGTGTGACGCCAGCGTAGTGAATCTGCTTGAATTCCTTGGATTCTGTAAACGCTGTGCCCGTCATTCCACTGAGCTTCCTGAAGAGGCGGAAGAGGCTCTGGTACGAGATCGACGCCAGGGTCACTGATTCAGCTTGGATATCCACGCCTTCCTTGGCTTCGACGGCCTGGTGGAGCCCGTTGCTCCACCTTCTTCCCTCCATCACTCGGCCGGTGAACTCGTCGACGATATTGACCTCGCCTTTCTTCACGATGTACTGCTTGTCTTTGACGTACAGCTCTTTGGCGTTGAGCGCATTGACGATGAAGGGGAACCAAGGGTCGTCAGGGTCGAACAGGTCGTCCTTGTTGAGAAGCTTTTCCGCCATGGCTACACCATCCTCCAACAAGACACACTGCCTCTGCTTTTCGTCAGTCGTGTAATGCACAACTTTTCTCAGACTCTTGGCCACCTCCCGGGCGACCTGGTACTTGGACGGTGCGTTCTGGGCCGTCCCGGAGATGATCAGCGGGGTCCTCGCCTCGTCGATGAGGATGGAGTCTACCTCGTCCACGATGCAGAAGTTGAACGGGTTCTCCGCGCGCAGGGTGAGGTCCGTCTGGGTGGGGCACATCTGGTCCCGCAGGTAGTCGAAGCCGAGTTCGCTATTGGTCACATAGGTCACGTCGCTGCGGTAGGCCCTCTGCTTCACGTCGCTGGCCATCTGGCTCTGCACGATGCCCACCGACAGCCCCAGGAACCGCAGCGGCTGCCCCACCCACTCGGCGTCGCGGCGCGCGAGGTAGTCGTTCACGGTGACCACGTGTACGCCCTTCCCGGTCAGCGCGTTCAGGAACGCGGGGAGGATGGCCACAAGCGTCTTTCCCTCTCCGGTGCCCATCTCGGCGATCTTGCCGTCGTGCAGCGCCATTCCGCCGATGAGCTGAACGTCGAAGTGCCTCAGTCCGAGCACGCGGTCGGACGCCTCGCGTACCAGCGCGAACGACATTGCCAGCAGGCTCTCGAGGGACTCGCCCCCCTGCGCCCTGCTGCGTAGCTCCTGCGCGAGCCCCCGCAGCTCGTCGTCGCTCTTCTCCTTCAGGGAAGGGCCGAGCGCGTTGATCTCGTCGACCTTCGCCTGGTACTGCTTCCGGGTGCTCTCGGCCGGGGACTCCTTGAACGGGTTCAGGTTCTCCAGCGCCTTTGAGGGGCAGCGTTTGGGGGGGGGGGACCTGCTCGGCTGGGGAAGCGTCAACCTGTAGCCGGCGATACGTCGCCGATTCACCGACGGATCGGAAATAGGCTTAGGTCGGGCATGTCCTCCTACAGGCTGACTTCGGACGAACCCCAAAAAATAGCCAATACAGGCTCAGACATATCTCAAAAAATTGTCAACGATCGTCCCCCGACTGCTTTTTTGACTACTTTGGACTACTCCTCCTGCAGAGGGACATGCCCGAGTCGGCTATACGCAAGAGTGACCCTGGGTGAGAGTGACCTTTGGTGCGCGACTTTTTGGGGGCCGCGGGGGGACCAAACCTGGGTGCGCAAGCATCTGCTACTGCTTCGTTTTCAGCCATCCGGGTACCCATCCGTGCCCGCACCAAAATGTCACTCCAGCGAAAGGTCACTCTTACGTCTGGTCGACCGCGTGAAAAATAGGCCCCGGATGGCGAAACTGCACGCTTCGGGAGCGGCCAAGAGGGGGGCGTCCAAGAATGGGGGGGTGCAAATCACTGCAGGCGGCACGTGCGCGGCCCAGGGGGGGGGGGGGGGGCAAGGACGCAACGAGACAAGAAGAGGCGCCGTGAAATCTGGGGAAACATAGCATGGCCCACGCCATGATGACCCCCCCCCTGCCCTGACCTTCCAGGAGGGCTAGAAAATAACACCCGACGTAAAAACCTCTCCCAGAGCTATTCTACGTCTCGGTTTTAGGCTGTTTCGTTTCGTGTTTTAGGTTTTTTGGTTTCCAGTGCTAAAAAATAGCTCTCTGGAAGGTCAGGGTGGCCATCCCCCCCCTCTTTGCCGCCCCCGAGCGCTCCTGGGCGGGGGCGGGGCGGGGGCTCGGCGGCCCTTCGGGGCGCTCTCCGGGCACCGCCAGCGCGCCCCGGTGGCGAGGCGCGGCCGCTGGGCCGGGAGGCGCCCCAGGGCCCGGGCAGGCCCCATGTGTATGGGGCCGAGGGGAGCGCGCCAGGACCAGAGGGGCCTCGAGCGCTGCCCCCCCCCCCCCCCGACGTCGAGGAACGAATGCCACTCAGTTCCTCGTCCCTCCTTCGCCTCCTCCTCGCTGTCCTCCCTCCTCCATGCTCTTCCCCCCCCATCTCTCCTTCGCCTCCTGCGTCCCCCTCTCCTCCTCCCTCCCCTCCCTTCGCGTTGTGAGCGTTCTCCTCGTCGCTGTCTTCGTCGTCGTCCCCCTTCGGGGTCGGCGGCAGCGGCCGTAAGGCCTTCGCAATATGCACGAGCGCGCTGTACCGCCCCTCCCTGGCGCGCGGAGCGCGCCAAGGGCGGCGCCGCAGGTGCCGCCAGGGGGCGCCCAGCGCAGACCCAAGAGATCTGCACAGAGCGCCGGAAGCTTATGTTAATGCCGTTTTCTTCTCCGGACGAGAGCGCCCTGAAAACTTCGAACGCTGCCCCCCTTAACTTGACGGCGCGCACAGGGGGATAGTTAGGGGGATGGGGGGATGGCTTGCTGGAAGGAGGCTGCCTCTCAGAAGGCGCGGGCCTTACATCTACAGCCAAGGCCCGCGCCTTCCAAGAAGCAGGGGTGCTTCTGAGAAGCCCCGCCCCCTGCCCCCTCTGCGTGTGGCCGACCCTTTCGGGGATCTACTGACCTGGGTCAATCCGACCCAGGTCAATCAGGCTCTGCAGGACTGGGTCAATGCAACCCTGGCTCTGCAGAATCCTGCGAGATCCGGCGCTCTGACTGACCCCCGTTTGCGTCGACCCCCGTCCCCGGACCTCCGACGTCGAGCCTCCGAAATCTCAACCCATTTCCCTGGACCGGCTCTTCATCCTGAATCGTTTCTTGACGGTCCCGAGGGCCGGTAAAAGCCTCCAGAGGCCGAAACTACGGAAAAACCTCCCGTCATGAGTTTTCCAAAGGGAGGAGGGAGGAGGGAGGAGGGGGGGGAGGGGAGAGGGAGGAGGGAGGAGGACTGGGCCTCTCGAGCCCCGGTTTGCGTGGCCCCCGGAGCCTCCTCCGGGCTCCCGAAGAAGCGCCTCCGGGTCCGCGGCGCCGCCGCGCCCCTGGCACGCCAGGCGCCCTTCGCGGCCGCAGCCGCGCCCAGTCCCAGCGCGGCCCCCGCCAGCCGCGGCGCCGCGGCGCCCCCGTCGGCCGGCCCCGCCGCTGGCGCCGCCGCGGCGGCGCGCTGGTCGGCTGCCGCGGGGAGCACCGCGGCGCCGCGCGCGTGTCCGCGCGGCGCGGGCGGGCTCGCGAAGGAGGCGCCGAGGTCCCCGCGGCGCGAGCACAGGAGCAGCCCGGCCCCGCCGCAGCCGGCGGCGGCCACGGCCGCCTTTCGCCGCGGCATGGGGCGCGCACGGGGGGGGGGGCGGCTGTGCGGTCGCCCCTCGTTGGGAGAGGCGGCCCCTGGGAGAGGTCTCCGCCAGAGCGGCCGCAGGGCTGGTGCAGTCAACCCGTATCACAAGGACAAGGACGCACAAGGAGGATGCAAGGGCCTTGGGAAGCCATACCGACACTTTGCGAACGGGGCGCGGCCAGCGAAAGCGGCCAAGTGTGGGCCGAGGAAACGAGGATGCAAAGGTACCCGGGTACCCTTGGAAATGTTGCCCGTCGTCACTATGCGGGTTGACTGTAAGCCACCATACAGGAAGGCCATCGACCCGGAGTAATTAGGCCAGGTCCGGGATGAGGCTGGACTATCATCGGGATTAAGCTGGAACCCGATGAACGGGCCACTGGGCCAGATGAAGCGGAACTGCGCGGGACTGTGCCAGATTAGGTCGTGTCCGACCACGCATCGACGAGCTCCGATGCTGAATCCAACGTCCCAGGAGTTGCATCCCAAAGGGGGGTTGTGTTCGCCCTTCGGCTGGCCGCCTTCAAAAATCGTGGGCCTGACGTCTGCTCGAGCCTGGGTTGCTTGAGCCAGAACGGCTGTGGTCATGGGGGTAGGAGGCGAATCGTCTGGGTGGTCACAATCCAAAAATCACACCTGCTGGTAACTACACGCCCCAGGAGAAGCGGAAGTGAACGAGAGAACGGGCACCCCCAAACAATCATAGAGGGGCCCAGAAGAACTTGCTGGTTCTTTGGCACTTTCCCTATGGATTTCCTTGTGATTTGCAAGATCATCCTCCGTATTCGCCACAACGGAAATCGTTTCGCATTGTGTCATACTCCTTTTGTGTTCCGCCACAGGGATGATGCTCTTACATTCGGAAACAAAAAGGGGTCCTTCTGTATTCTACCACAAGAGGAATCCCATTGACCGTAATACATTCATATAGAAACCATGCGCTGGCACACTTAGCACAGAACTTTTCAACACAAACATTAAGGGACACCTGCGCAGGCACAGTTGGCAAATTTGTTTTTGAATGGAAATGTTGTTTTCGCATGGCCAGGCACAGCTAGAACACATTTCATATGTTCAAGCATGTTCCATTTATGGGAACGTTCTTTCTGAGTTACTACTTGCCCACATCCTATGCAAATCGGTGCAGGCACCAGCGAAACTCATGTTCAGAAAAGCAACCGTTAAGACAATATGTGCAGGCAGAGTCAGCATCGAACTTCAAAACATTTGTTTTGAATGAAAAAACCTGCGCAGGCACAGTTGGCACATATGTTTTTGAATGGACATGTTGTTTTCGCATGGCCAGGCACAACTAGCACACTTTTCATATGTTTGAAAACATGTTCCGTTTATGGGAACGTTCTTTCTGAGCTACTACTTGCCCACAATCTATGCAAATCTGTGCAGGCACCAGCGAAACTCAGGTTCAGAAGGGCAACCGTGAAGAAAACCTGTGCAGGCATAGTCAGCATCGAACTTCAAAACATTTGTTTTAACATAAAAAACCTGCGCAGGCACAGTTGGCACATATGTTTTTGGATGAAGCTGTTGTTTTCGTATGGCCAGGCACATTTTTTGTAAACAACAAGATGTTCCGTATATGGGAATTTGGAATCATATCCATAAATGGAACATGGTTAAAACGTCTGTGATAACTGTGCCTGGCCATGCGGAAACAACATTTTCAATGTAACGCATCTGTGCCAACTGTGCCTGCGCAGGTTTTTCTTAATGTTTGTTTTGGAAAATTCTGTGCTGACTGTGCCTGCGCAGGGTTTCCAGCTGACTGTAACAATGCCAAACAGATTGTGTTGGTGGTGGAATGCAACAAACATATGTTGTGGCCGGGCACAATCGAATTCAGTTGGTGGCGTACACGCATTCGACTTCCTTCTAGCTTCGACTATACTATAATTCCTTGTGCAGCGGCATGCAACGCGATTTTGTTTGCAGAGGACTCCACTGGGATTCTTATTATGGCAGGATGCAGAAGGTTTCTTTTTGTTGCGGAGCACCATCGGATTTCTGTTGAAACCGAATGCTCTAGAATCGCTTTTTTTATGGCGAAGAAGATTCCTTTCGTGCCGGGGTACAATCGATTTCGTCTTGTGGCATAACGCAATGGGATTCAATTTGAACCCGGGTGCACTAGACTTCGTTTTATGGCGGCGCGCAGTAGACGTCACTTTATGGCGGCATTTTGTGGCGGAGTACAACACGATTCTTGACTGGCCGAAATGATATGGTAAATGTTTGTAGTTGTCCGCGTCCATGTTTTGCTATCAACCTTTTCACATGATCATTGTAATTGCCGTCCCATTCGTCGGCCCATTCAGTACTGCAAAGAAACTCATTTGCCACATTATTTATGATCGTTTTACCATTGCCTTCAATCTTCCCGTCCTCTTTTAAGAACGCAATCAACTACCCACCTGTTTCTTTGACTAACATTCGTCGGTGGGAAAAGGGTAGATGGGTAAATCTCCAACTTCGGTTTTTCACTGTGGCATCAAGCTTGATGGTTGGATTCTCAGCGACAAACTGCAATTTCTTACTTGACACTTGTTTGTCACTATCCGCCAAGAGTTGGTTCGTTCCCCCTGGCACTTCCGTTGCAGCGGCAAGTGTTGTCCTGCCGCCACATGCGACATTTGCCATCCGCTAACTTATCTACCAACGACCGGTTGCCGTAGTTCTGTTGGTATCTCAGCTTGAACCACTTGTGGCAAATATCACGAGGGGGTGGAAGGGGAATGGCGGTAATGATAGCGACGACTCGTAATATGATAGCGGCTCACCAAGGAAGAAGTGAGGAGGTGAGCGGGAGGCGATGGCGCTCGGTTCAACCTGTGACGCCCGCCCCTGTCGCTCCCTTTTGACCGCGCTCTGCGGCCAAAGGGACGACTCTGGTCACCATGAAAGAAGAGAGGTGATCGGTTCAAACTCTCACGCCCGCCCCCATCGCTCCCCTTTGACCGCGCTCCGCGGCCAGGGGAACGACCCGGGTCACCATGACCAGAGAGAGGAGATCGGTTCAACCTCTGACGCTCGCCCCTGTCGCTCCTCTTTGACCGCGCTCCGCGGCCAGGGGAACGACTCGGGTCACCTTGAAAGGAGACAGGAGATCTGTTCAACCCCTGTCGCCCGCCCCTGTCTGTCGCTCCCCTTTGACCGCTTTCCGCGGCCAGGGGAGCGACTCGGGTCACCGTGAAAGGAGAGAGAAAGCAAGCGGAATCAAATACACAACGGACGTAGAGGCGTTGTCGCTGCCGCCGTGGTCGTCGTAGAGGCCGTCGTCGCTGCCGCTGTCGTCAACGTCTTCGTCGTTCTCGGAGGGCAGAGTCCTTGTTAGCCGCACTGTTCAGGCAAATCGTTCGAAACGTCCTCTGCATCTGTTCTGAGCGCAGACGATTATGCTCCTCCTTCTCTTTCTCCTCCTCTGACTTCTCCTCCGACTCCTGCTCCTTGTCCTCCTCTCCGTCCTCCTCCCTCCTCCCCCTCCTGCTCCTCCATTTTCCTTCCTCCTTCTCCTCCTCCTTGTTCTCCCCCTCCTCCGCCTTCCTCTTTCCTCATCCCTCCATCTCCCTGCTCCTCCTTATTCTCCACCTCCTCCTCCTGTTTGTCGTCGTCGTCCTCCTCCTCGCCATCCTCCTCATCATCCTCCTCTTCCTCCTCCTCGCTCTCCTCCTCCTCCTCCTCCTCCTCCTTCTCCTCCCTCCCTCCTCCTCCTCCTCCTTCTTCCCCTCCCTCCTCATACGCATCCGTACTTTCTGTCCCACTGTCTTCTCGATGCAATTAAATGAATAGGGTGGGGGCCAAAAAAAACCCAAGGTTCTTCTGGCACTGTCCCTCCATACAATACAAAATAATGCCCAACACCACCCGCTATTTCAAATAACATCGCCATGTCGTGCTGCCAAGTGTTACCTATGCCGCACGAGCATGGCATGCGCGACCAGGCGGATCAACCGTCCTCAACATATACCCCAATCGGAGCTTGCCTCTGTAGGGGTCCTAGCGGATTCATATGGTTAAATGAGATATGGCGCCGATTTTGGGTGCACGCCGGGTGCCCGGGTGCCCGGTAGCCCTATAGCCCTGTAGCCTTATAGCCCTATAGCCCTATAGCCCCTATAGCCCTATAGCCCTATAGCCCTATAGCACTGTAGCCCTGTAGCCCTGTAGCCCTATAGCCTCAGAGCCCTATAGCCCTATAGCACTACAGCCCTATAGCCCTACAGCCCTGTAGCCTTATATCTCTATATAGCCCAATAGCCCTACAGCCCTAAAAAGATCATGATTGGGGCTTTTCTCCGGTATCATATTTATGTATATATATATATATATATTCGAATTGCACGTCTCAGCCTCCAGATAGTAGATCTTGGGCATCAGCCCGCGAATTTCAATTATCTGGCATGCTCATTTCTCTCCCGTCCTCTGTCTCCCTCTTCCCACTCCCCACCCTCGAAGGCTGATGACGTCGAGACTGCCATGCGAGCTGCAATGGAACGTCTGGGGCACAGGTCGTGGCATACAGCATACGGTGATCGCACACACACACACACACACACGCACACACACACACACAGCACACACACACACACCTGTACATACCTGAAAATAGTGAGTCACGGGAGGGGGTGCCGACCCCCCTCCCCCTCCGTCCAGGAGAAGGCGGCGGGTGGGGGGGTCGAGTTCCAAATCCCCCCCCCCACAGAACGCGCTCTGTCCTACCTGAATATAATGAGTCGCACATGCTGGCTACTCTCGGCATCACATAACAGCGCGCGTATGCAGAACCCGTTGACCCTTGAGCGGGGATGCGGGCTCGACCTGCCGGGAGATGCTGCCATGCTGCAGGAAGCCATCGTGCTATTGCAAGGGCCTCGGAATAGAGCAACGAAGGGGCTTTAAGCCTGGGCGAACCTCGGGAACGAACAGGCTCCACTACCTAGATCTGAGGAGCGCCCCGAAACCGACCATAATCCCATCTGAACTCGGGAGCGGCCAAGAGGGGGGTGTCCAAGAGGGGGGGGTGCAAATCATGACCGGCGACATGTGCGCGGCCTAGCGGGGGGGCCAGGGACGTAATGAAGTAAGAAGAGGCGCCATGAAATCTGCGGAGATATCATGGCCCCCGAAATGATGTCCACCCCCCCCTAGTCATCACCCCCCTCTTTTCCGCCCCCGATGAACCCGAAGTGTTCCTTCTTTCCACGTCTTGGCTGTACCTGGGTCCAACCTCCCCTTCTCCAGACATCCGGCTGCTCCAACTTTTCCGATGCGCCTCGCGTCGGGCGCGACGGGGCCAGCGTCCAACGCGCGTCGGGTGGTGGGCAACCTCTTTCTTGGCCGCCATCCGCTGCGGGTAATCAGAGCTGTCCGCGCAAGACGCTTGAAGGCCACAGGCGATTCGGCTCAGTGTCGGACGCGTACAGCATGGCGTCAAGAAGGAGAGGGGGGCGGAGGAAGAGGGAGGTCGAGGAGGGACACCGGTGATTCGGCTCCACGCCAGATGCGTAGAATGTAAAGACTTCTAGAATCATGCAAGGATGAGTTCGACTCTCCCGCAAGTCCGCTTGCCTCTCCCCTCGCCTCCCCTCCCTTGCGACGTGCATACCCAGGTATGGGAACATCGAGATCTCACACCGCATACATCTGCACACGCGCGTAAATTTCTGCACTCATTCCAGCTCGAGGGCGTCCTCGCGCGTGCCCAAAACTACCAGACATTATCGTACCGGACCCTGCGGATACACGACTATCGTGACATTTGTCGATCGTGGTATGATTCGCGGCAACGTAATCGGCGAACGAAACTGACACGCGATGTCATGTCCGACCTCGTGCGCGAACGATCTGATTGACATTCGCGTCGGGACTGCGGCGCCGAAACACAAGTCTGAATAACACGAGGCCAGGTCCGCCACCGTGCCCCCTGGCACGTTGAGGCGTGCAAGGATGCCAGGTTTCTGTCATTCTCGAAGGCCCGCCCACCCCTCGGGACGCGCGCAGCGACATGCACCGCCCCTCCCTCCCGAGGCCACCGCATCATGGAAACTACAACTGGCTCGCGCTCCCGAGGCCCAAATGCTTCCAGGACGGCCCAATGCCGCTCCAAGACAGGCCCCTCTGGCCCCAAGGCGGCCCAAGATGGCTTCAAGACGGCCCACGAGGCTTTCGAGACGTTCCAGGAGAGCCTCAAGAGCCTTTCCAAAAGGGCCCCGAGAAGCAACACTCACTGAGTTACCACAGGTTTTTCAACTTGTTTGGGGTGTTTGCCTCTTCGGGCTGTCGACGCTCCAGGACGGCCCCAGGGGCCTCCGAGACCGCCCTGGCACGGCCCAGGAGGCCCCCAAGGGGACCCCACGGCGGCTCAAGAGAGCCCCAAGACCGCCCAAGGGGGCCCCAAGAAGGGCCCGAGAGGGAGAACACGAACCACCAATTCGAGCCTTCCGCCCCAAGAAACCCTCCCCCAGGAGGCCCCAAGGGGCCCAAAAGAGGTGTCCGACAGACCCCAAAACGGCTCCCGAGAAGCCCAACGTGGCCCCAAGACTGGCCAGCTCAGGTCCATGAGGGCTCCTCACGAAGTGAAGGCAACATATGGCTCATGTGACGGCGTTCCTCGTCCTCCTCCGCCTCCGCGTCATCCTCCTCCTCCTCCTGCTCCTCCATCCCATCATAGTTATCATCAGCACCGTCATCGTCATCGTCATCCTCATCCTCCTCCTCCTCCTCCTCCTCCTCCTCCTCCTCCTCCTCCTCCTCCCCATGATCATCATCGTCATCACCACTACCATCCCCAACACCATCGCCACCATCACCATCATCACCATCACCATCATCATCACAATCACCATCACCATCAGTATCATCATCAACAATCACTATCGCCCTCATCATGATCATGACCATGATCACCCCCACCCCCATCATCACCACCTCTGTGAGCGTCACCATCATCCTCATCACCGTCCTCCTCCTCCTCCTCCTCCTCCTCCTCATCATCATCATCATCATCATCATCATCATCATCATCATCATATCATCATCAGCGTGATCATCATCATCGTCATCAACATCATCATCAGCATCATCAGCAGCATGATCATCATCATCATCGTCATCAACATCATCATCATCATCATCATCATCATCATCATCATCATCATCGCCATGATCTTCACCATCGTCTCTGACGGGATCACATACTTCGAACACGCATCAACACCCCAAAGCAGCCGAGGTGTCACACGTGACGGCGTCAAACAATGGCCTCCAACAACCCCCCAAACGGTCCCACGAACAGCGCGCCCCGTGTTACGGCTCTCCAGAGACCAGCGATCCAAGATGTCGCACATAAGTGAAGGGGCCCCAGGACACACACATAAATACACACAAATAAAAAGATTCCCCATATTTTCCCATATTTTCTGGGTTTCTGTCTTCCCCTCCACTTCCCATATTTTCCCATATTTTCTGGGGAATCGAAGATTAATTGTGTCTGTGTGTTTCTTTCCCTCCTGAATAAGGACCTCCGTGCTCTCTCGCGCACGGGCCACCGAACAGGCTCTGCTGGCATGGTGGCGACTGGCCGCAGGCAGCTGGATATGAACATGTCTCTCAATGTTTCGAATAGCGGGGTCGCTGCCGACAAGGGTTAGGTCGGGCATGTCCTCCCACAGGCGGATTTTGGACGACGCACAAGACATAGCCAAGACATGCCCAAACCATAGTCCAAAGGTGCTCGAAGCATCGCCCTGGGACTATTGCTTGCCTATGTGTGAATCTCCCTCCTGTAAAGGGACATGCCCGATTTACGACAAGGGTTATGTCGGGCGTGTCCTCCTACAGGGGAATTTTCGACGAAAAATAAAACATATCCCCAAAATACCCCAAAAAGGTCAAAACATACTCTAACAATAGTCCCCAGACCATGTTTGGATTATTGTTTGACGTTTTTTTTTTGTTGTTTTTTGTTTTTCCCTCTTATTTTTCGTCGAAAATCTCCCTGTAGAGGGACATGTCCGATTTACGACAAGGGCTGCCGTGCGCTGGGTCGGCTTCGCGAAGCAGGCTCGCTGCGGGCCGTGGCGGAGAGGCAGCGGCCGCGCAGCCCGCGATCGGCAGGCCGCGAGGCCCTGCCGGGGCACCTCCCGGGGCAGGTGCGGCCCTGCCTCTCGTCGGCCTCGCTGGTGGCATCGTTGGCCTCTCGATGGCCTCGTGGGGCTCTCTTTCGGGGGGCGAAGGACGGTGTAAAGTACACGTCGTTCATTTCCAATCGTGCTCGTTTCTAATGGCGCTCGATTCTGAGTGTTCCTGGCCCCCTGGTGGCCATGAAGAGGCCCAGGATAGAACCACTAGAGCTGAAAAGGGCCCTGGCTCCCCACAGCCGCAAATACCTTTTTTTCGAAGAGTTAGAAATTGACAGTGTGTAAGCTTTTCCGCCGTCGGGGACGCCTGCGCCCGAGCGGCTGGAAATTTCTAGCTCTGCGTGGCACCGTAGTGGTATACATAGATTTTCCGGCCGCCTCTTGGTGGCACAGTGGGGCTCTCGATCAGGGGAACGAAGAATGACGTAAACATAGAAACTCGGAGGTCCTCGCGGATTTCTCGGATCCGCGCTGGACCCTCCTGGCGGCGCCTCAGGCGCCGCCCCTTGCGCGCTCCGCGCGCCAGGGAGGGGGGTCCAGCGCGGATCCGAGAAATCCGCGCGGACTTCAAAGTTCTTATGCTTATGCTTTCTTTTCGTTCCCGGAGGCATCGTGGGGTTCTGTTGGGGTGCTCTTGGGACGCGTCTGGGCTCCTCTGAGGGCTCCTAATTGGGGCCACCTGCAGGCCTCGGAGGCCCGTCAGCACGGTCGGACCTGGGGGCCACACTGAATAACCTTCTGAGGTGCCCTCCCCCAGTATGCACAACAGCATCCAACAAGCACGAAATACATTAGGGTACCCTCAGCGAGCCGACCTGGCTCTTTTGCCTCGGTCTGACCGTAGAGGGTGAGGATGCGGAATTTGTCAACACCTGATGTCCTTCTGCTGATTTGGGCCTCCCAGGGATTATCCCGGGGAGGCTCCAGAGCCACCTCAGAGCGATCCTGGAACACGGAGCAGGAGGGGGAGGAGGAGGAGGAGGAGGAGGAGGAGGAGGAGGAGGAGGAGGAGGAGGAGGAGGAGGAGGAGGAGGAGGAGGAGGATGATGAGGAGGAGGAGGAGGAGGGAGCAGCAGGAGGAGGAGATATGGATCAGGAGGAGGAGGAGGAGAAGGAGGAGGAGGGGGAGGAGGAGGAGGAGGAGCAGGACGATATTATTGGCAATCTAGGAAACTCGTATATTGAAGGCCTCCCCCCGCTGGGGCTACTGAGCGGGCGGGGCCGCGACGCGCTGGGGCGCACTGGGTGTCTGGCGAGCGCCCCGAGATGGCCCCTCCCACACCACCCCTGTTGGCCTCCCAAATGGCGTGAGATGGTCCAAATTGGCCCAAGACGGCCGACAATGCCATTCCCAGCAATTCGACTCACCGCCTGTATACCCCCTGCAGAATATTGTCCCTCCCTTGGCCTCCAAGCCGACACGTCGATCAACTCCGCTCCTTTGCATTACCCTCTCCTCTTCCTGTTCCCCCTGACGGCGCCGCGCACTCGCGCGCTGCCACAAGTGTTGCCACGGGTCTCACGCGCAGGCTTTGCACTTCAGCGTGCGGTGTTGGTGGGCGCGAGCTAAATGCGGTCCACCCGCGAACTGAGATTTTGGGAGCTTCCTCTTGCAAGCGCCGAAGCACTCGTACGCTTGCAAATCCCGGGCCGAGAGGCCGACGACAATGCACTCCGCGCGCGCAACTTCAGTGATCCTCGTGAAGTGATCACTTTCTTGCCTGTCGCTGATGCGCTGCTGCCGAGCGAACTGCTTCGTGCACGCTGCACGCGTCGACCGCCTCTTCAACCGCTTCGCCGCATTGACAACTCCCTTCGCGCTAACGTCCTTCTGGTGACACTGTGCGCACACCACCCTTTCTTTTTTCGTCGCCCGGTGGTTTTTCATTTGATTCCTACTCGAACGGCCGACCTCCCAGAAAGACACCCCGCAACCGGGCGCGCAACACGTCAGCGGCTCCGCTTCGGCCTCTGCTTTCCGTTTTCGATGCTCTGCTTCGCAATTCCTCCGCAGCGCCGCCTTCTCTCGATCCCCCGCGCAGTTTCGACACAACCTCTGCCCCGCTGCGTTGTGTTTCTTCTGTGCTTCCGACATCTCCGCCTGTTCGTCGCACAGCGACAGGCACTTATCGTTCGTGCATCGCACAGTGCCCACGCTCTCGTTCCACTTCGCGTTGCCGCTCCTCGACTTCTGCTGGGCTTTGACAGGGCTGCGCTTCGCGCAGCTCATTGTCCGAATCCTTTTCGTCTCCTGGTCGTCGACCGCGCCGTCCGCGTTCCGACCGCTACCATTTCGAGTCGCCTCGTCACACCCCCGCTCCTGTTGCCCACCCAGTGCACGTTGTGCATCATTTTTCGTCCGCGTTTTTCATCTCTTCCGTGCACTCCTTGCAGAACGTCTGCCTACCCTTCCTCTGGAACTCGTACTTCGTGAACGCCTCTACAAGCAACCTCCGCCGGCAGCGCTCGAACTGGTCTCGCGGCATCAGATCCGGCTCCCACGCATCCCAATATACGCTCTCCCCTCGTAGCACCTGCAATAGTTTTTGCGTGCCCGCCATATCACCTGCGTTGTACGGTGTCCTATCAAAAGGCCGGCGAATCAGCAAGTTCTCTCGCCTGCGCACGCGCGTGATGGCAACGTAACTTGACATTCAACTCACGCCGCGCCCTCTTTCAAGGTCCGCGACCACTGCCCCCATGGTCCGGCCCTGCGCAGAAGGCGCCGTCACTGCCAAAGCCGGGGTTATCATAAACTGGGTGCGTTTCACACTCAACACGGGATGTTTCCTATACCCGTCCAAGAACCAATTCCAACCTTTTCGATGGGAAGATCGGATACAGACCCGGCCCCCGCCCTGGCAGGTGCCACTCCTTCGTGTGGAAGTCCAGAAACGCGAACCGAAAATACCAAGAGTCCAGCCCAAGAGAGCTCGAAGAGGCCGCACCGACAACCCGAGGGAGACCCGAGTGCCGGGTAGAGCGACCCGAAATAGTGAGTCTCCCAGTGACCGAAAGAGTGTCCCGACATCCCCTACGAGATTCTGAGTTGGCACCCATACCGAATCAAGGGGTCGGCGGATGTGGCGTAAGCCTGAAGAATAAACATGTCCCAGAGGGGCCCATGTCATTGGGCAGCCTGAGGCAAACATCACTGAACAAGTTGCTTGTTCAATGATTGTCACCTTCTCGCCTTGTCGGATTCTCGTGGCCCCGAGACGGCCCAAGAGTCCTCCAAGACCGAGGAGCCCAGATGCCCCCAGCAGAACCCGAGCCCCAAGAGGCTCCCATGATACGACTTCTCCGGATCCGAGGGTGGGGAGGTCGGCACGCGCCCTCCATCTGAGGTCACGACATCAGAGACACCACGCCCATCTCTGCGGAGCAACATTAGGGGGGGACAGGCTCATGGGGAAAACTTCGAGCTGTAATTATTTCGCGATGCATCGCCGATCGATCGGCGATAGGCCGCTGACTGCAAACCTGCACGCTCCTGGGCGGGGTGGGCTATCAGGCCCAAACGTTTACATGTGTGGCGTTTTTTCTTCTGCGGGCCTTCTCAGAAGGCTCGCAAGCCCCCCGGCCTTCCGAGAAGCCCCGCCTTCTTCTGAGGAGACCTTCTCCTTCTCACTTCCTGCCCAGACCTCCGACGTCATGATGTTCTCATGACGTCGACCTCCAAGGGTCAGGACCCCTTCCCCTGGACCGGTTTTCCAGCCCGAATCGTGTTCTGACGCTCCCGAGGCCCGGTGAGGGCCCCCAGGGGCCGAACATCCGCCGACACCATCGGCGTGTGTGAGGGGCTTCTGCCCGTTCGACTCGTCCCCCCCGTCGATCGTTCGCCGTTGTCGCCGTCGCGCCCTTGCCCTGCCTGCCCCGCTCTCCCTGGGCCCGGTCGCCGTTCCCCTGCTTCCTTCACAGCCTCCCCCCCTGAGGCGCGCAAGGCAAAGCGACATTGGGCAACGCTGTAATCGAGTCGAAGGGAAGCCCCTGCCCTTTGATCCCTCCCCCGCCAAGGGGGGGGCTCCCGGGTCAGATGCGACATCCCCCCGAGGAGTCCCGGGGACCCAAAAAACCCTGAGACGAGCCAAGACTGCCCCAAAGAGGCCCCCGAGAGGGTCCAAGAGGGTCCCGAATCGCCGAACGATCTGTCCAAGACGCCTTGACGGCTTCCAGACGGCCCAACAGGCCTGTAAGTCACCCCAAGAGGCCTCCAGGACCACTCCAAAGAGGGCCCCAAGAGTAAAACAACATTGATTGACCATGCGTTTGGACAAACATACACACACACACACACACACACGCGCGCGCACACGCGCACGCGCACGCGCACACGCACACGCACACGCACACGCACACGACGCACACGACGCACACGACGCACACGACGCACACGACGCACACGACGCACACGACGCACACGACGCACACGACGCACACGACGCACACGACGCACACGACGCACACGACGCACACGACGCACACGACGCACACGACGCACACGACGCACACGCACACGCACACGACGCACACGACGCACACGACGCACACGACGCACACGACGCACACGACGCACACGACGCACACGACGCACACGACGCACACGACGCACACGACGCACACCACGCACACCACGCACACCACGCACACCACGCACACCACGCACACCACGCACACACGCACACACGCACACACGCACACACGCACACACGCACACGCGCACACGCACACGCGCACGCGCACGCGCACACGCACACGCACACACACAACACACACATACCTATATATATATATATATATATATATGTATATATATATATTATACATACATACAAATAAATCGACCCAAGAGGCCCACAAGATCGCCCCGAGACGGCCCAAGAGGCCTCCAAGACGGCCCTTAAAGCGGCCCAAGAGGGCCTCAAGGTGGCCCAAGACGCTTCCAAGACGGCGCAAAAAGTCCCCAAGACGGCTCCAGGAGGGTACCCAGACGGGGGACCCAGACAGACATTTCGAGCCCTCGGCCCCAAGAGGGCCCCAAGAGGCCCCCCAGTCGTCGACACCGCCGCGCCGCCGTCGTTTCCCCTCCAGGGTCGGCGGCGCCGGCCGTCAGGCCTTCGCAATGCCCCGAGGGGGCATGCCTCGAGGGGGCATGGGCCCCGTTCTTCTTCACGATTCCAACGTTCCTTCGCGACTTCTTCATGTCTCGAGGGGGGCATGGGCATGGGCATGGGCGTTCCGACGTTCCGTCGCGATTTCTTCATGCCTCGAGGGGGCATGGGCCCCTCGCTCGCCGCCGAATTCCCAGCCTGTCCAGACGCGGTGCCGCGAGAGCCGCCGTGGCTGGCGCAAGAAGCAGCGATCAGGCTGCGGCATCAACCGACGGCCGCCTGCCGCGGGGGGGCGCTCCGCCCTGCGAACTCAGGGCGTGCCAAGGGAGGCGCCCCTTTGTGAGCAAGCAGGCACCCGCGGGATTAGACTACCTATATTGGAATGCCGCCACGGCGATGTCGCGATTCCGCGAGAGCCAGGAAGCTTTGATCGGGGGGGGGGGGCCAAAGTTTGGGGAGCAAAGGTGGGGTTGGAAGGAACGTCGCCCCGAACGGGCCCTGGACGAGGGAAACGCGTTACACGGGGGCATCCAGCTGGGCCCGTAGCGACGCCGGTGCGCACCACGGAGAGATGGCAAGGAGACGGCTGAAGAGGAGTGCTGGGCGGGTCTGAGCAGGGGAACGTTTTCTTATTCGGCGTTTCGACATTGGGCGGAACGGGGGGGGTCTGGCTCCGGACCTCTGCTCAGTGCGACTGTTTGGAGCAGCGCGTCCTGTGGGAGAGACTCTGCCTGCTCGAAACAGGCGTCAAAAAACATCCAAGATCTACTCCACGGGGGGGGATGGAGGGGGGGTGCGAGTGCCCGCGCCGATCTGCAAAACAATAAAGAGTAAAACGGTCACCAGGAGGAACAGGGTTAGGTCGGGCCTGTCCCCCTACAGTCGGATTTTGGAGGAAAAAGTAAAACATTCCCAAACAAAAATCAAGAATAATCAAAGATCATCGAACATGTAAAAATGTCCCCATACTATTTTTTTGACTATTTCTGAATCTTCCTCCTGTAGAGGGACAGGCCCGACTTAAGAGGAGCAGGGGGAGGCTGCACGCAGGAGTGACCCTTTGTGTGCAAGCAGTGACATTCGGCGCGCGGCTTTTGGGGGGCCGCGTTGACGCCAAATCGGCGCTGTCCAGGCGCACCAGCCAGTGCTGCGGGCAATCTGTTCATCCATATGTACCCCCCGACTGCTGTCCGTGTCCACTGCGCCGCGGCCTGCTGGCGCCCCCTCCCAGAAAGTCCAAGACGCAGACTACCAGCCTCGAACGTATCCCCATCCCTAAGATCGACACGCCAAAAGGCGATGACAGTCTTAGGGATCCGCCCTCAAAGAATAAGGGAATCCCTGAGGCTGGCATCGTGATGAGGAGGTGCCCAGCACAGGGATAGGGATATGTTCCAGGCTGGTACGCAGAGGGTATGGGTATGACTCGTGCCCGGCGAGTGCTGGAGCGACGCCCGTGGGCCCGCCACCGTGGCGAGGGGTCCCTCTTGCGCGCAGCCGGAAGCGGAAGGCGCACACTCTGCTCGGCAGGCGGGGGGCGCCGTGAGCGCCGGGTGCCGCTCGGGCTCCGCGCGCGGGTGGTGCTCCGAGAGGCCGGGGGCTGGCCGCGGTGTTAGACAGGCGCGTCCCAATACTCGCAGGGTCACTTTGGCGGCGAGCGAGGGGGGGGAGTGAGAAGGAGCAGGCCTTCTCAGGAGGCGGCGGGACTTCTCAGAACCCCCCCGCGCATTCTGAGAAGTTTTTTTGTGCGCCTTCGGGGGAGGCTCAGAACACTTCTCAGGCGGCCAGGGGACTTCCGAGCCTTCTCAGAAGGCCCGCCCCTTCTCACTTCCCCCCCTCGCTCGCCTCCGATAGCTGCTCGCAAGCGGCCTGGGCCCGCCAGGGGGGATCTACGATACACGACATCGATGGCGGCACGTTTTTTCTTTTTTCTTCCCCCCCACCCCCCCCGGACGTTTGCGAGCAGGCACTCTGCGAGTGGTGGAACGCGCTCGGCGAGGCTCGTGGTGGCTGGATCCCTGCGGGTGGGGTCCGACGCGCGCCACGCACTCCGAGGACTCCGAGGAGGGGGATCGCCGAGCCTTCCTCTGTGCTCTCTTAGGGGTCCCAACACCGTGTGGTGACAGACCCGGCGGTGACCTCGAAATCCGCAAGGACCGCACCTCAGGGTCCGTCACCACACGGTTTTTGGACCTCGGATGCCCCAGTCGCCCGAGACATCCTCGGAGAACGACTCAAGT